AGAAATGATATTGAGTTCCGGATACCGTTAGGCAGGATCTCGAATTATTTATACAAGAAATTAGAAGTAGAAATCAGATTGAGAAATATTGTGGAAAAGCTCTTCAATCTCGACATGTTGGTCGTCAGGCAAAAACATTCCTATCTGCAGTGTCGTTTTAAGGCGTATATTTAGTTATGTATTTGTTCGGGGCTTTTTTATGTAATATGTTTAGTCTAATTCCACATGCATCTACTCCTGGTACAGTATAATAATAATAATAATAATGTTATTTTAGTTGATTGAGTGAGAATAAGTGATAATAGCTGTACGTGTGACATGGTCTGTTTTGCAGCTGCATTCGAACGGATAGGCACGTTGATGTCACGTATCGATTCACCGCTGTTTAACGCAGAGGAAACAAAGGTACAACCACGTCGAATTGTTTGGTATTTTAACGTGCATGCATGCGTTCGTGCATGCAATAGCGCCCGCCTGTAGTAGTAGAATGCTAATATTATTTATGAGAAAGTTAACAGTAATTACACATACACATATGCAACAAAGTAAATGAGAAACTAATATTATATATTACACATTTATTTACACTAAAAGTTTCTTAAACGAATGAAATATTTGATAACATTCCTTAGTGTAGCAACTGCTATGTAAAGGAGGTGGTGTGTGTGATAACAACCTTTTGGGAAATTAGATGTTAGTTTTGTACATTTTGTGTTACAGAGGTCTCTTATTGGACTGTCCAGAGACTTGAGGGGAATTGCATTCGCGTTCAACTCCAAGAGCAGCTACATGATGATGTTTGATTGGATGTATCCTAATTGTTCTACAGCTCTTCAAGCCAATCAAAACCTAGTGTATAGAACTACTAGTCTTTTTTTCAAGAAGTGAGCAGTTTTTCCTTGGTTGTTTAGGTATTGTAGGAAACGGTGTAGCCCTTGACATTGGGTCATTTTCATAAATCTATTGGCAGGCAAAATCCTGTCGCAACAAACCATTAAATTTTCATAGTAGTAACAGATGTTTTACTAAACTTAGGTTTGCTGCTAGAAGTGGGGCAGTAGGGGTTTAGAACTCTAGAATGGTATAGGACATTTCAGAGAAGAAGAGTGATCACGTTGATCTGTGCAAAAGATGCGTTTCATGCATTCATAAGGTGTGCGTTCCTTTTGCATTAAATGTGTAAAGTAAGCATGCGAAAATGGTCAAACTATTTGGCGTGTAGCCACTGATATTGCCAAATTGTTACGCTCCTTGACGTTAACGACATAGTTATCCTTCATACACGCCGATTCTGCTGCGCGCCATGGAGCTTTGGTATCACGATCCAAACATAACAACACCCATACTAAAGTTGTTCGCCGGTAAGTGCAAACCTTAGTATTGTTCTCTCTCAGCATTGGTACTTCTACAATACTACAGCATTGGTACTTCTACAATACTACAGCATTGGTACTTCTACAATACTACAGCATTGGTACTTCTACAATACTACAGCATTGGTACTTCTACAATACTACAGCATTGGTACTTCTACAATAAAACAAAGAAGTAAACGCGTGTTAGGAAATGTCTCGCAACCTTTCGTCATTACAACATCGCCGTCATCTGTCGGTGATTAACTCCGATATGACCGGATAGTCCACTCTCCTCTGCATGAGTTATTTTACACGTCATGTCTCTCGGTGCTCCTGAATTCTTTTCTAATTTGTCGCAAAATCTCGTTTATTTGCAGAGCTCGCACAGAACAGGTCGCAGCGTCTGGCGTTCGACGTCTCGTCTCCGAACGGCATCTTGTTGTTCAGAGAAATCAGCAAGATCATGTCCAGTTATGGTGAGTCACGACGAACGCTGGCCAGACGTCTCCTATTATAGTAGCATGCGTACAGATTTTCGCACTCGTATTATACTGTAGCGAGCGTACAATTTTCGCAGTAGTATTATAGTAGCGCGTATACAAATTTCGCACTAGTATTATAGTAGCGCGTATACAAATTTCGCACTAGTATTATAGTAGCGTGCGTACAATTTTCGCCCTAGTATTATAGTAGCGTGCGTACAAATTTCGCACTAGTATTATAGTAGCGTGCGTACA